GGCAGCTGTGGTTGCCAGAACTTTACCGTACCATCATGGTAACACTAAAATAATGAAACTTAACAAATGTGGGCTGTCACGCAAAAAATTCTGGGAATGTCAATTTACGGGTTTTCCACTGTAAATTATGAGACTTGTATATGTTTTTGGGGACTAAGCTGACTTGTACAGCTTTTGGACCTGAAAAGAACATTTAACAACAGTTTCTGGGAGTCAAGATGCAATGGTTCCTATCACTCATTTAAACACAGTCTAGCCTATTATAATGCTGTGAGTCTTTGTGATGCTTTCCTGTTAGTACCATTTTTATGTTGTGGAAACCACAATTTCTATTTGGCTATTTTTTTTAGTTTTAAAGAAAAAGGAGAAAAAAATTCTAAATGAGCTCAGTTGGCTCTGGAGTTTCACCAGAAATAACATTCGTCACAATGAGAAATACCTCAAGCATCAATATTGAGAATCATTTTCTGGCATTTCACTTCTCTCTGCACTGATTCTTTATGCAACACTAATGCAAATAGACTGACTAAGGGAAATTCAAGAAAAAAAAAGTATAAGTTAGTCATTTCAAATGAGGAAGAAAAACCAGAGATTTTCTAGTAAGACTAAAATCATCTACCTAAAAGTGTACAGTGTAAAAAAACAGCCTCAGGTTTCAGTCCTTTAAATTGTCACAGCCAAGTCAAAAGTGCTTAGGCTTTATAGCTGGACATTTGTCTGGAATTTTATGTGGTTTTAGTGGTGGTGTGGGGGATCAGGGTTTGAGTCCTGTTTCTACTGTGTGAGAAGCATAATGCCAAGAGCTCTGGCCATCATCCAGATCTGCTTCTGGTTTACATTCCGCAAAACTCCGTTCTCTATATCTCTCCCTTCCTTTAACATGGACACAAATCGGAATAGTCATTCAGAACAGAAAGAGGCCATAGTGTCACTTTAGTCACAGTCATGCTGCTTAAGCAATCGTGACCTCCGGGAAAAGTTAGGAGGGTTTCGTCAAACAAAAATAGCTCTCATCAAAGATCAAAAAAAGGTATGTGCTCATGTTTTTATGCATCAAACCACATAGGACAAGGAAGTAGCAAACAAGTTTGCCACTGCTTTTCAACAGCAATGATTCTGAGTGGCATATCTCACTTATGATCTATGTTCCATAACCTGATAACCTGAAAAACACATCTAATTTAGTTGTCACCATGACAACCGAGGCAAACAAGAAAAGAAAAAAAAAAGAATACTGGCTGTGTATGGGAAACTGGGTTAAATTTAGGGCTGGGCAAAAAATCGAATGCTATTTTCATGTGCATCTCATCAGTAAAGCCACTTCTGGTGATTAGTAGTAAATCTCCAGCACGTGCTTTCAGATGGAGCGGCATTTACTACACAGAGCCGTAGTTCACTGACAAGCTACACAAAATCGCGTTCAAAATAGCAGGCGATTCATTGCCGATTATGAACGCGATTTTGTGTAGCTTGTCAGTGAACTACGGCTGTGTAGTAAATGCCGCTCCATCCGAAAGCACGTGCTGGAGATTTACTACTAATCACAGGAGCGGCTTTACTGACGAGACGCACATGAAAATCGCATTCGAGTTTGTTAAATTAAACACAATTTGTTTAAAATGTAAATACTTTCTCTACCATTAGCATCACCAAATGGAAGAGCAAAGATACCGACTGTTGACAAACATTTCCACACAAACTAAACTCAAACAAATCAAATGGAAACTCGTCAAATGGATTTGGGTCCACAAAAGTTCAAGCATGATAGCTCCCTTAGAATCTGTATTGTATCATGTACAATAAATATACAGATGAAGCCTTTTTAGACATTGCTGGTCACATCACTAGAATAGAAATGTAACAGTTGGCACATGAGGACAGTGTAGACCAAAACTACAGATTAAGAGATCTGGGTGATATGTTAAAGGAGCCATAGAGGGCTCTAAATGCTCATACTGTGGCTGTGCGAAAGATGCAGCCATGCTAGACAATTACAAACTACTGTGTGCAGGCCTTCATCCAGATCTGGGCTTCCTGCCATGTTTGCAATTACGAACCATAGCCCAGTGCAAACCTAAAACAGCCTTAAATATTCAGGGGACATTTGTGTGCTGCAGCTATAAATCCAATCTCTTGATGAAATGGTGGTGTAAAATCTGGTCACTAGTCACAAAAATGGAAAAAGTGGTGAGTGGGTATTTTGAGAGAGGCACGTGGGTTTGGCATCAACATGAATGGATCCAGTTAAGAGGAAAGAAAATTTGTTAAAATTATGCACCCTGAGATCCAACGAAACCGAGCTAAAATGGTTGACGACAATTTTTATACTCTAAATAAAAGAAGACCTGATTTGTGACCACTGGTTAAGGTCAACTCTGGTGACCAAATATTAATCTAAAGGTTAACTATAGACAGCTTCTGTGGAATTAAGTAACTATCTAAACAGCAGCTCAAAATGGTAGACAGGTAGAGGGTTTGAGACATAAATATTTTGAATTCTCAAGCTCATTCAGATCATAGTGCACCAAGTTGGGGTGCTTATGCAACCAACGCAGGATTGAACCTAGTTAGCAACATTTCCTGAGAACTCAATGTGGTTAAAAAAGTGCTGAAAATAAAATGAATGAAAAAACAAAAAACAGCTCACTCACTTTGCTCAGAGTCCGAGTCTGGCCTTGCGGGCCCTGGGGCCACCGGTAAAGGCCTTTGGGGTCTTGGTTTGGGAGTTGGTGGAGAAATCTTTTTCTTGCCGATGAACTCCACGTACGTACCAGGAAAGTCCCCCTTTTCCTGAGTAGTTTCATTAAAGCCAGGCAGCCATCCGATTTCATCTGGTCTCTCCTCCATCCCCTCAGTGTAACCAACTGTGAGTAGTGCACCTTTATTGACTGTAAGAATGTCCCCTACATGCAGGTCAATATCCTCCTCCCTCTCTTTCTTATAGTCATACAGCGCTCTGTACTGATATCCTTCTGCACTCATTCTGATGGTGTCGTCTCAAACTTTTGGTGTCACAAAAATGATAATGATCATTTACAAAGGTTCTTTGAACCAATATTTGGATGTGAGGCAAGAGTCAAAAAAAGTTTTTTTTTTCTCTCCCTGTGACTTTAAGCCTTTATTAACATCATACACACTGTAGTCTCTAAGGATGAGTGGATTATGTAAAACTAATAGTCCAATGATTGGGTGCACCTTCAAGGTGCTTTATACACACTCTTCCCATCTGTGTGAGGCCTTATCCTGTGAATCTCACAGAGTAACTCGAACCTGAAACACAGAAGAGAAGCCATTTTACACACGCCACACTACACACAGACTCAACTTCCATGGGGAAACACTGTAATTGTTGTACATTATGTGCTCAAATAAAAACAAATAATCCAACAAATAATAACAAAAATTAAGTGTGCAGCTGTTTATTTTCTGTAAGCTTAATAGTATAAACAACAATAGTTTATAAATATGCTGCAGCTTTAGAGTAAATGCTTGATATTTTTAACAAATTTTAGCTACATTTTTTATACTATAGTATTTTGAAAGGATTGATGGAATGCTTATTTTTCTTTCTCCGTCATGAAACAAACTTCTTTCAAATTTGTAAACACCACATGCCTAAAAAAAAAAACTGACAAACTGACTCAGAAAGCATCACAACACAATACACAAAAGCAGATACACACTTTTTGGACAAGTGCAAATAAAAGAACAAATGGCGCAGAAGAAACTCCAAAGAGTCGCAATGCTGACTGTGCAAAACTCTCGATTGAGTTTCACGTAACAGATTAGGATTAATAATCGGCGCTATTTTAAGATCAAACGTAAACAATTTAGCCAGGCATAAACTAACCCAGTGTGAATTGTTTAAATAAAAAGACAATTAAAGTGCAATTTCATAGTATTAAAGTGCACCATTAAGACTGAAAACCACAATCAAATCAGATACAAATCACTCACCATAGATACAATAAAATCGAACTGGCTGTAATCTCATGGCCTGTGGCGTTAATCGGAGACGCCTTTATTTATAGATTTATATTAATCTTGCGTTGTCGGTTAGCATATTTGCTAACGTTAGCCTTAAATAATATAACATACTATTATTAGAGCGAAATACATCAACGTATATGCAAAATAATTTTAGAAAGATTATATCTTCAATTACGACGCTAAAACGCACGGTTGCGGTAGAAAATAAATCGCCAGAGTCAATAATGTGAGGTGAGCGCGTAGAGCCAGTTGGGACACGCTGTGCTGGAACAATCGACACAGTAAAGCGATCCTATTAAACCTCCCATAATCTCAACATTACAATACATACCAATCCTAAATACGTTGCATATTTCATAAAACAAGCATACGTACCGGGGAATGGTGAAAATAGAGAGCAGCTGAAGTATATCTGCGAACTTTAGTAAGTTGTAAGGGGCCCGTTCATGAAAACCAGGGCCGAGAAAATCTCCTTCGCTTCCCGTAACTCCAGTTTACGCAGCTCTCCAACAAATCCACTCACCACAACCGCTATAAAACACACCTCATACGACGCGTATTTGGCGAAGTAACATCCAGAGGTAAGATAAATTTCAACACGCTAATTGAGTGTTTTTTAAAAATACTTTAACTTAATGATTGAGCTCGTTTCCCGACAGTAAAGCCGACTCCACCCGAGTCACCGCACACTGAATCCTCTCAATGGCAGGAACACCAGAATACAGGCCACGCCCTCTGAGTTGCGTCAGCGACAGTCCCCCTCTCGTGCCCCGCCCCTCTAGTTAATATGTATATTCTCATAATACTACAGTATGTGCCAAACAGCTGGACATGCCTGGTTGCGCCTGCGCCAGTCGGTCATAGTAGAGTTACTACATTACTTCCACATGTGGGGTGTTTCTAGAGCAAGATTTTAGCCCCGATAACTATTAGAAAATAAACAATAGCTGTTATCCTAATCATAATAAAGCAATCGTAATATACAGCCTATGTGGCTCTTCTGAGAAAAGTTACTAGATTGGTCCACAAAATATAAATCAGTGATGTATCAGATGTCACAGTATTTTGATACTGCGGTACCGAATAACACGAAATTATGAAATTATGTTGAAATAACATGCCCATGACACTTTTTTTTTTTTAAGTGGTACAAGTTTATTTTACTACAAAATAATTTAGCAATAATGTGTTTGATTGCCAATTGATGTCAAATGTAAAAGCTGGGTTGTAAAATAAAACCAGGTGAGAACAACTTGGTTATCCAGCATGGTGCCAAAAATACAAGTAAAATGATATGGTATGGTATTTTATGTTCTTGTTATAAATAATGAGGTGTATGAATATGGTAATCATTTATTGCCATAGCAAAAATCAAAGTAACAACTTTTTGTGTGTATTATCAAAAAAAAAAAAAAAAAAGCCATACATGATTCACTTTTTTTAATTGATTATTTTCCGACGGTTTTGTTAGAATGTTTCTTTGCATTCTTGCAGATGGTGCATAAAGCATAAAGAAAGATTGTAAGCATAAGAGTCTCATGCAACATTTTCTCTCTAACTCCCTGTTCCGTTTGCCTAATTAAATCAAGCTGAATTTCTTCCATAGTCACCCTGTTTCTCAGTACTGGAACACTTAGCCTTCTCAGAACAGAGCAGAAAATGTCCTCACTGTGCACTAAGGATGGTGCACTAAAGAGGACACTGTGAAGCATTGCAAAAAAAATTATAATTAAAACAAAAAAAACACTGGGGCACATTCATCTTAATGTTGTCACATGTTCCTCATAAAATACACAGTAATGAATTTCAAGGAAAATACCAGAAATTTAATTAAAGGGCAATAAAATGTAATATGCCATGTTGTGTCTGTGAACGCAGATAAATGCAATGTGATCTTATCAGCTGATTTCAACTTTACGTTCTAAGAAAATACTTTTCTTTCTTTCTTTCTTTCTTTCTTTCTTTCTTTCTTTCTCTCAAAAGTATAAGAAATTAGATTTCCTTCCGTCTTTTGTGGGCAGGTTTCATTCAACATCTACAAAATCTATAGCACTCCAAGATAAGTTTAGTGGTCATATCAAAGCAGGGGCCATTTCCTGTGTTCCATTATTCCCTTTCAGTCAGGATTCAATATGGAGTACACTGGACTCATTTAGAATGGCCAATCCCAGCCACATGACTGTGAATGTGGGTGGCCTGATCATGGGGGAGGTTAACTTGCAGAAATCCCCTCTTGTGAGTACCATCCAAAGGATACAGAGAGAGCTTACAGCATTCTGTGCTAGAGAATAATTTAATAAAGCTATGTTGTGAAAGAACTGCAACCAATGTTAGTGTGACATTAGAATGTAAAGCAATATATTAATGTATCACATTCTTCCAGTAGCCACATGGATCATCTAGGTGGAGTTTGGCAAACCTCAGACAGGCAGTAGTGTTCTGTTTGGATAGCTGTGGTTTCCTCCTTGGTGCATTCCCATGCACACCACCTTTCTACAGTGTTTTCCGAATGATGAATTCATGGACACTAATGTTAACTAGTGTGAGAAATGCCAGCAAAATCTATTGGATTATTATACTGCTTATTCTTAATTTTCTATTATATTATGAATATTATATTCTTAGTTAAAAGCAGCTCCTGTATATATATATATATATATATATATACACCTTGCTACACGTTGCTACACCTTGCTACGTGTACTGCGTTAGGCTAACCGAGACTTGTCATTTGCACTTATATATTGTTGCTCTTTTGTTAGTTTTGACTGCTTTTATTGTCCTCATTTGTAAGTCGCTTTGGATAAAAGCGTCTGCTAAATGACTAAATGTAAATGTAAATGTAAATTCTTATTGAGTTACTTCGATAAATGTATGAGAAGATTAGCAATGGTTTTGAATGTTGCAGATAAATTGCAGATACTACGTGACCAGGGATGTATGGAACATACAATAAAAGCATATGCTTTAATATTAGTAATCATAGGGGAACCACTTTAAGTGCTACATAGCACCTATATCTTTAAATATGGTGCTATATAGTACCTTAACCCTAAAGAACCGCAGAAGAACCATTACAGGTTCTTTATAGGTGCTATATAGCACTTAAATGGTTTCCCTTATGATTATGAGCCGAAGAACCACTTAGCAGTGCTATATAGCACCTCAACTACCACAAAGAACTGCTGAAGAACCAATTTTTTTTGTGTGTAAATTCTTCAGATCAAAGATGTGCTTCCTTAAGTGATCTTAAACACACAACTGAAAATACTGATAATTTTAGATGACAATACAGGCAAAAACAATTTGGGACTATTTATATGCAAAAGTGTACAATAATATCAATACTGAGTACAGTATGAACAGTAGCAGTAGAAGTACATTAACATTTTTTTTCTGACAAATGTCTGTGGAAAATAAGCATTAAAACAGCTGTATACCGTTGTGAAAAAAGCATACTTTTAAAAAGACTTGTAGCATTTTATTTTTTATTAAATACAATTAGTTGAATTTGAGAGTGCTTCTTTGATCCACTTAAGTAGGACTTGTTGTAAGTATATGTTTAAATGTAATTTCAATTATTTCTAATATATGGATACTTTAAAAACTTGTGACATTATTACAAGGTGCACTTTTTGAAAGTGTACTCAAGTGTGTTAAGAAACATATTCATAAAACTCCCTTTAAGTACATTTAAGCAGCCTTTATTTAATAATAAAAGTAGCAATAGTAAATCAAGTATAGTTTTTTTAAATACTTTTAATATTTTCAGTAGTCTACATGCACATTCTTTTTCAGAAGGGTATTTTTCGGTCTGATTTGCACACAGTGCTTTTCAAATCCAGTGCACAGCTAGAGAAGATGCTCCACTCATATTGCATAATCATAAATTAGCCAAACTAAATTAGCAGACAAAAAGAGTATGGCTTTCTCCCTAATGGAAGTGTGCTGATATTGGCTGTGTTCCAGCCCATCAGCTGCAGGCTCTCAATTCTACATTACAAATCCAGACCTTAGGTCGCCCAGAAGCATCGTTCCACTGATAGAGGCTGTTTATGACTTATTGTGGAACAGTTTGTCCTGAAATGCTGCTATATAGAGATGAATTAGGCAATGGTAGATAGCAAGGAGTTACTGTAGTTCACAAAACTTGAGCAACAACATTCACTCACAATTTCTGCATTTTAGAGCTGAGCAGACAGACCTACAGGCAATATACAATTGCAGGTAATTACACCATTATCATCCCATCCACAGCTCTGAGCTTCAGGGTTGTAGCATAATGATTTGAATACTTTCTGTTTATTAGCATTATACCTGTTTTACTACCAGCTCACTTTTTTCATGATTTATGTACCTACAAAACATGTTCTTGCAAGTACTGAGGTGGATTGTTTTTATATATACCATATCACTGATAATTATGCTTTTTATGGTCCCCCAAGGTACTTGTAAACAATACCATGCAAGTTGTACCATATATGTCCATAATGGTATACCTTAGTACTTTTATGTGTCTTTCGTTTTCAATTTGTTTTCAATTTTTTAATTTAATAGTTATTTTATACAAGCAAGTTACCATAATTTACTGTCTTTCAGTGTTCCAAAACCCCGTGGAGGAACGTGGTTGAGAACCACTGTTATAAAAGAAGGAGAATATGAATGAGGGTGAATAAAAGATGACAGATTTTTTTTGTTAAACTATTCCTTTATTGCCTTTTAAACTTATATATTTGTAATATCTCATAATCTAAAAAAAATCTCTTTTCATGGCCTTGAAACACTCTTGTATACTGAATGAGAACACTGAACTCCACTCAAATGTGTCTCAGTGCTTTAAAGCAAGTTCAGACATGTCTAAAAAAGAAAACCCTCATCATGTTGCTAGCTGCAGTGTCTCTTTCTTTCTATTTTCACCTTTGTGTTTACCATCTGCATGTTAGCCCTGATGAATTTCTACATAGGATGCATCATTTACATTTTCGAAAGAAACTGAATCTCATTATTAAAATTTCATGCAGAAGAAATGTCCCATTCTTTCCAAACTAAAGAACACCTCCTCCAGTTCACCCATCTTTTTCTCGGAAGCTGAAAGCAAAGCAAATCAGTCCTGTCCGCAGACTGTTGCTTTTGGCTCTTGTGAGTTAGTGTAGTATTAAAATGTATTTTATTAATGCCTGTATATGACCACAGAGGGGTGTACCATAACATTCAGTGTATGCACGTTTGACACTTAAATAATATACAGAACATACAGTGTATTTTTGATGGGATTTTGGATTGAGTGAACTGTTCCAAAGCCTAACCAATTTTGACTGGAACTGTCAGCTGGTCTTTTGTTCTTGCTGTAGATTAGTTATGCTGAGGCTCCAAACCTGTGACCATCTCATAAAACTGAGGGGCCACCAAACCAGGAAACTCTGCAGCGATGGCTATTATCATGCTAATCAAATATGGATATCTAAGCAGAGGTCCTCACAGACCACCAACTACCACTCAAAGATGTAGATGGGAAGTAGGGCACAGACACAGCATGACGAAAGGCTGATACCTTAAAGGGTATGCGATTTAAGGTTACAAGCTCTTGGTGCATAAAGAAGATCTGTAAAGTTACAAAGACTAAAGACTCAAATCCAAAGAGATATTCTTTATAAATGTTAAGACTTGTCCACGCCCTCCTAAAACGCTTCGTTTAAGCATGC